GTCCTGCCCGCCCCCAGACCCTCCTCCGCCCCCCCGCAGCTCGGGCCCTGGTCGTGGCGCGGCTGCCGCACGGTGCCCCTCGACGCCCTCCGGACGCGCTGCCTCTGTGACCGACTCTCCACCTTCGCCATCTTAGCCCAGCTCAGCGCCGACGCGGTGAGACCCCGCTGCCGGGACGGCGGGAGGGGTGCCAGGCGCGGGTGAGGGCGGCGGGAGGGACTCGCGCGGCTGCCCCTTCCCTGCCCTGAGGGGGCACAGCACCCAGTAGCGGCTGTGGCGTGGCAAGCAGGGCACCACCGGGGAGGACGGTGGGAGCCGCGTGGGTGGCGAGTGAGTGGCAGTGTGGACTTGGGGACCGGTCTGGAAGGAGCCGGGACCCCTGGGATGTGAGTGATGGGTGGGCCCCATCTGCATCTTCCTTGGAGGCCTGAGACCTTGAGGAAGCTGGGTTCTCCTCCCGAAGAGGCAGACTTGGGTCCTAAGTCTCCGGCTAGGGAGGGCACTGCATGGAAGAGGGGCATACCCCTCCACTTAGTGGGTCCTGAGCCACAGGGACGAGGAGGAAGGAGGAGCTGCCACCTTCCTCGAGCTTTTCTAACCCACCCAGATCTGAGTCTCAATGTGGAGGTGGCTGTGTCCCCTGGCAGGGGTCCTGGCACAGGTCCATAGCCCTCCCCAGGCAGGCCTCATCTCAGGGCCTCCTTTTTGTTCCTGTGATTCTTGTGGGGGCTGCCGGTTTCTATGGTGACAGCCAGCCTGTGGGCTGGGGCCCTAGGTGCTGGGCCCTGCCCACTAGGGCTGGTGGATGGTGGGCTCTCTTGCCCCAAGCACCAACTGGGCTGCACTTTCTAGCCCCAGGCAGACTAGTCCCCCTTGTCAGGTCCCTGGACCCCTGAGCCCCTCACCCCAGACATCACGGGGAAGGGCCTGGGATAGCCCGTGTATAGGGAGCACTGGGAGAGGGATATGGCCTTCCTGGGTGTTTGGAGGTGGCGTAGTTTACCCCCCAGATTCCCTGAAGAAGATATTTCCAGGCCTCTCTGAGAATATTCTAGCCACCCACCCCCTTTGTGGGACATTGTCAAGCTGGGGTCTCCCAGTGTCAGATCCAGATGGAAGCCTATAGACCATTGCCACTCAACTCCGTTGATAGCAGGGACACTGAGGCCAGAGAAGGTCTTGCTTAAGGTCTTAGGGGCACAGCTAGGTTGCCTTGACCACAGTGTACCCCCTCTGGCTGTCTCCTCAGGCAAGACTGTGGGTATCATGGGGCCATCCTGGAGGCTCCCTGGAAGAGGTGGTTTTCTATGTAGATGGTCATTGATGTTAAAGCAACAGGCTTTCCCTGGGGCCCCATGAGGCTGAATGGAGCAGCACAGGGCTCTGGGTAGCTGCACATCCTCTGGGTATGTGAGGAGAACCCAGGGCAGGAGAGGACCCGGAGTGGGATGTCTGCCTCCCTCTCTCTTCCCAGCCCTGTGCCAACACATAGGAGATCAGTCACACACTGTGACTGGGCCCAGCCCGAGTCCTTCTGAGCCTCAATTTCCTCCTTGTAAAATGAAGGGTAGCCCTGTACCCCCTGGAGTTGGCTGCAATCCCCTGACTTAATGGCATTCCCACTGGTCACCAGGGCTGTGCTCTGGAGCGAGCCTGGCTGGGAGAGCATGTCCTCAGAGGGGCTAGTGAGTGGCTGGGTAGCTGGGGCCTGGGTGGTTCCCAGAGGCCTTCCCAGGAAGAGGGACCTTCACCCCGTGTGCACAGGAGTATGGGAAGGCAGACATAGCAGAGTCCTGCTTTGTCAGGCAGCCCAACCCACCCATGTCAGTGTTCACAGAGGTGGTTTGCCGTAGGCCCATCAGGGCGCCCATGCCCCTATCCCACACATGGCAGCTGGGCCCTTCAGAGCCCCAGTGTGCTCACCTGTGAGATGGGCGAGTAGCTGGTTCTGCCTGGTTCTATGGGTACCTCAAGGACAGAGCTTGGCTGCCAGCCTAGGCTCAGAGAGCGAGCTGGGGAAGGAACCAGGGAGGGCATGGCCCTGCCTCAGAGCTCCCCAGGGTCCTCCTCTCCTTTCCCGTACCACCTCTTGGTCCTGCCTGCTCTAGCCTGGCTGAGGGCTGACCTGAACACTGAGCACAGAGGGACTGAGGGTGGAGGGGAGCCTGTTGCGATGGTGTAGCCTGTCACTGACTTGTTCTCATCCCTGTGCCTACCTTCGAGGGGCACAGGACCTGATGCTGGGCAGATGTGTGCACATACCAGCTTGGTCTGAACAAAGGCCAGGGCATGGGCTCTGGGGGCTTGGTTAAGAGCCTCCTTTCTGCCTGGGCATGGTTGGGGAGCAGTGCACCTGGGGTCCTGAAGGGTGTGCAGGAGTTCACCAGCTGAACTTTTCAGGTAGAAAAGCAGGATGCTGGCCTGCCAGGGGATTGAGATGTGGGACTGGGGAGGCAGAGACATAGATGCCAGCAGCAAGGCCGGGGCCAGAGTGAGAGCCTGACCTTCCTCCTGAGGGCAGTGAGGAGACCCGGAAGATAGAGGTTGGCAGTGGGGTGTGGGTGCCAGAGGGATCAGAGCAGGAGCAAGGGTAGAACAGTCAGCAGGCAGGGAGGGGGCCAGTGGAGAGCAGCGTTGGGGGTGGGAGTGACAAGTATGTGGGCCTGGTGGGGCTTGAGTGGGCACATTGGGCACTCAGGTCTGAGTGGACAGGCTATGGATATCCCATGGACAGAGTGGCCTCAGGGGACTGCCTTCCAGAACAAGGGCCTGAGATGGTGGTAAAGATGGGGTACCATGGGCACACCCCAGGAGCCAGAGTGGAATGACATCTGGTCAGGGCCATAGAGTGAGGGGAGATAAGACGTCCTCCCTCCAGTCTTGGCCTGGAGCCAGAGTGTTGGTAAAGATGCCGGCTGTGCCACTGTGGGCCTGCGGCTGCCGGAAGGCTGAGTAACCACTCTGAGTCACACCTGTGAGGGGGACAATGCCACCTGTCTCAGAATGTCATGGGGATCAAACTAGGTGGTATATTTATGGCTTTTTGCACAGCCTGGCATGTAGTAAACAGCCGGCAAAGGACAGTCGTTGGCATCACTTTTCCGATGTGCCTCAAACTGTGTTAGTAGGCTATGACCAGGGTCAGAGTTCATTTGAAACCAGGACTAGGACTCAGCATGTGCCCAAGGTGAGGACTCAGGGTATAACTGGGGTTTTGGATGTGGGCTCAGGATGTGACCAGGATCAGAGCTAAGAATGTGACTGAGATCGAGGCTCAGCATGTGACTAGATTCAGGGGTCAGGGTGTGACCTGGGTCAGGGTTCATCATATGACAGGGCTTAGAGTTTAGCCCAAACTGGAGTGAGGAATTTATTTAGTAGCTGTTTGGGCCATGAGTGGTATTAGAGCACCGGCAGGATGAAGGTGGCAGGCACTGAACATCGGAATCAGTCTTAAGGAGCACTAGGTGTATAGATGGCTTGGGAAAAGGCTGCCCCTGGGAGTTCGTGCGCCAGAAACAACCAAGCAAAGCTATGGGTGGGAGGGGCAGCCAGTGCCCTGGAGAGGGCCTTGGGGAGGCGCTAGCACAGAGTGACGGGCTGGTTCAGACTGAGATTGAGGGGCATCTTCTAGGTGGTGATGTCGCAGTAGAAAGGCTGACCCAGGAAAGTCAGGGAAGAACATGGGCAGAGGGATTGGCATGTGCAAGGGCCCTGGGGTGGCCCTGAGCTTGGCATAAGGAGCTGTTCTCCACAGGAGGCTGGCCTGGCTCTGCCACCTCTCTGCATGAGTAGGAGCCAGTCTCTCACCCTGAGCTCTCCAACCTAGCCCTCCTGAGGAGTCCTAGGGGTCTCAGGCACCCTGCCTGCCTGGCTGCCTCCTAATGCCCTTCTGCATCATCCAGAACCTGCTGAGCTGGGGCTGTCAGGGGACTGATGAGCCCGGCAGGGAGGACAGGGAGCAGGCAGGCAGGTGGGAGGGCTGGCAGGATCTTGGCTGCCAGGCCTAATGAGGGCAGACGGAAGCAGATGGCCACAGAGATCTGGGCTGGAGCCAGCTATGGCGCAGGCGTGAGCCATTTACTCAGGCGCCCATGACCTTCGTGGACAGCCAGCCATGGGCCAGCCCAAAGTCTTGGAAACATTTGCTGAGGTCACCCTCTCCCCTACCTGTCTCTCTCCTCTGGCCTTCTCCTAGCTCTGGGCCTCAGGTTCTCCATTGGTAAGATCACTGGGTCAGGGGCCGCCAGTCCCAGGGGCCACTATTTTGAGGCTTGAGCTCGCAGCTGTGACATGCAGAGAAATACCTGTGCACAGTTCCTTGTGGTGTGCAGCTGAGGTAGGCGAGGCCACCTGGCTTGCAGAATGGGTCTCCTCCAGAGCCCAGGAACCTGGGGTGATCAAAGGGGCCTGCCTGGAGATGGTGGCTTCCAGAGCCTTGTGGGCCAGCAGTGCTTGTGCATGCAGAGGAGTCTGGCTAAGTTCCAGGGAAACAAACCTAGAGCAAAGGGCCAGGCATGTGTGAGGAGCCAGCCTGGCACCAGGACCCAGGAGGTGAGGGCCGGGTGTGGGGTCTCTTGTGTACATCTGTGCATGTCAGGTACGTGGCTTGCGTCACCTGGAGGAGGACCCCTTAAGGGTCCCTCAGTCCTCGCCTTGGCCTGGAGGGGAGAAGGAAAGTGAGGAAAGAATGCACAGAAGCTGGGGGCAGGAGGACCATGCTAGAGGTAGGGAATGACCACTGGAGAGGCCCTTACCCAGCAGGGGCTTTGGCCCCCACCACCTACAGCTCCACATCACACTTGGGTCAGGCTGGGGCGGCCTCACTCAAGGCCTTGCAGATGGGTGGTCAGCAGATGACTGGGCATCATGGTGGGGGAAGTCTAGGTCTGCTGTGAGCTTGGGGGCGCTGCAAAGGAGACCCTAGGGAAGGCCTGGGCCAGGGAGGCAGCAATGAGGGCAGCCCACAGAGCAGGGCAGGATGGTGGGGCACTGAGGTCACCCTCAAGGTGGCCGGCAGTCCTGGCCAAGGCTGAGTACTCCCTTCCCCTGGACCCAGCTCTGGGTGTGTTTGGGCTTCACCATTAGCTGTGCCCATATAGACCAGTGACCATCTGGTGACCTTGGGTGACTTTCCCAATTTTTCTGGGTCCTGTCTTCTTTATCTTCCTTTATCTGGTCAGTAACATAGACCCAGCATCCATGCTGGGTCTAGCCCTGGTGGGGCTTGTGGACATGAAGGACACTTGGCTACAGGGACAGGCAATCACCCCCAGCATGAGGGCTGGGGCTGGTAACACCAGAGGGGTCTAGGGGGCAAGCAGGATGCCTGGAGGAGGTGGCACTTCCAGTTCGGGGAAGGGCAGTGTGGCACGTGTGTGGGTGGAGAGCAGCATGGTGTGGGCTGCCTGCTGGCAGTGTGGCTGAGGAGAGAGGACTAGGCCCAGCTGCACGGGCGGGGCAGTGGTGCCTGCGGGGGCAGGCCCTGGAGCTCAGGGCCTTTGGGCCCCCTGAGGAGGGAAGGGCTGCCAGGCATCAGGAACCAGTGGGCAAGTGTCACCTTCACAGAGCCAGGGCCAGCTCTGTAGGCAGCAGATCCAGGGAGCCCTCCTTCCTGGCCCTGTCCTCCCACCCACCTTACCTCTTCCCCTCAGAGCTAGAGGGTGGCAGCTGGGAAGGGGATACAAGCTGTTTCTCTTCAGTCCCTCACATCTGAGTGCTGCCCTCCGCCAGGCCTGCGTTCTTTCCTCCATAAATGCAGACTGTCCCCTGCGGGGCATACTGTGGGCATGGGGATACAGTGAGGCTCTCAGCTTGTACACCGGGTTGTACAGTGGCACACAGTGGGAACATGTGTCTCTGGTGGGGAACTGCTGGTGCAGAGCCCTGATGGGGCTGGGAGGCAGTACAGTCAGTGAGGGGTTATCTCGTCAGGGGAGGGGGCTGGCAGGAAGGCAAGGCCAGGTGGGGTGCAGATAAGCCTGAGACAGGGAGTCGGGGAGGGTCTGAGGAGGGCAGAGGGGTGGCCTTTGAGGGGCAGGCAAAAGGCTGTGGGGACAGGGAAGAGCACAGGTCCCTGCCCCAGCAGAAGGCAGGGAGTGGTGAAGTAGGACTTGGTGCAGGGGTGTTAAGGTGACACACGGGGCCGTGGGGTCTGTGGGCACGGAGTCCCAGGCACAGATGGGTGCTTCGCAGAGGCTGTGGGCTCTGTGGGGCCACCTCAGGTCGGGGAGGGAGGTCCCTGAGGCTGGCGCCTCCCTGACCCCACCATGATGTGGGAGGTGGTGCTTCAAATGGGGGTGTCTGTGCTGTGAGAGAGACAAAGTGTTCGTCATGGGGCACGTGACTATGATGGCACTAGTGTAGAGGTGAAGGCCCCGCCCTCAGCAAGGGACAAGAGCTCCCAGAAAGGAACAGCCCAGAGAAGAAGGTCCTGGAGGGGCTTGGTGTGTTCTGGAATCCTTCTCTGTGGGAGGCCAAGGGGCTGGGTGGGGGAGGGGAGGTTCCAGCCCAGAGAGGAGCCCTGGGTCCCCCAGGCCCGCACATCTCACTCCCTGCACTCCCTGTGACCTGCAGACCATGGAGAAGACAGCCCTGCCATCTGTGACTCTCATCGTGGGCTGCGGTGTGTCCTCACTCACTCTGCTCATGTTGGTCATCATCTACGTGTCTGTGTGGAGGTGGGTGCCGCCCAGGGAGCCCTCAAACTGCGCTCCATCCCCTCCCTCCCTTCTCGTCTTCCCAGCCACTGCCACCATCCAGGACAGCACCTGGCATCCCCCTCTGTCCCACTGAGCCCAGCCTCCCAGCAACCATCTCCATGGCCCACCTGGCCTGGTCCAGGGTCTGGTCGGTTGCAGCCACCACTCGCTTTATGCCCACAATGTGCATTGTAGAAATAGGGTCCCAGATGCCGACTTTGAGCCCACCCCAGCTTGGCATGCACCCACACCCCTGACTTCCCTGTCCGTCCTCTTGTCTGCACCAGCCTTCCCTGGGGCCCAGGGCCAGGCCTCAGGGTCCAGGGCCTCTGCTGGATCCCCCAGGCCAAACTTATTCTACAGAGGACCACTGGAACTTAGTGCTGGGACCTTGTGCTCACTGCAAGTATTGTCTGATCTGAGTGCCAGCCTCTGGGTTTTCTGGGTCCCACTGGGGCCCAGGGTGATATGGGTAGTAAAAACTCATGTTCAAGGCAGGAACAAGCCCGGGTACACAGGCTCCAGTGTGAGTGTCCAGGCCAAGGCATGAGTGTGACTGCAGGCCTGTGCCCACCAGGCAGGTCCTGTCCCCCTGCTGCTTCCAGCCCTGTTGAGTAGAAGTTTGGAGGAGGGAGTGTGAACTCAAGGTCACTGCCTGGGCAGCTGCCCTCAAGACCTAGTTGGGACTCTCAGTGTGTCCAGAGGACGTGCAGCTGCTGCGCTTGGCTGCTCAGGCTCCTGCGGCAGTGCGATGTCAGCCGATAATCAGAACTGACGCCTGGCTGCTGTCCAAGGTCGAGAAATAAGAAGTCGATGTGGCCTGAGCTTTCCTGGTGACCCGTAGTGGCTAGCAGCAGGCACCCTCCACTGTCCTGCCTGAGGGCGAACATACAGTGCTCCCCCACTGGGCCCCACAAGGGAACATGACTGTCTCTCTCCCTTGGGCCAGCCCCTTAGACCCCTAGGCCCTTGGCTTCCCAAAACATCTGGGGATTGGGACTCTTGAGTGACAGGGGCCCCAAACTCTAGCTCTGATGTGCTGAGGTTTTAAGGAGGCTGTACACCTATAGTGGTCAAAGTGTCTGTCTTCCTGAGCTCTGCTGGCCATCACTGCACCTCTCTGAGTTGTAAGCAGGGACTGTTTCAATGGCCCCATGAAGAAGTGAGACCCACAGAGAGGATGTGACCCGTCCACAGTCATGCAAGCACATCAGGGCCATGTAACACCCCCTGACGCTCAGCACTGTACCCTCCACTCTCTACCTGGCAGGGTCTCACTCCCCTGGGGCTGCTGGTGGTGATGGTGGTGGTAATGGTGGCAGTGGTGGTGGTCGTAGTGGTGCTGGTGGTGCTGGTGGTAATGGTGGTGGTGGCAGTAATTGGGGTGGTGGTGGTGATAGGAATGGTGGTGGTGGTAATGATGGTAATGGTGGTGATGGTGATGATGGTGGTGATAGGAGTGGTGGTGGTAGTGATGATGGTGGTGATGGTGGTGGTGATGATGGTGGTAGGAGTGGTGGTGGTGGTGGTGATGATGGTGGTGATGGTGGTGATAGAAATGGTGGTGGTGGTGATGATGGTGGTAATGGTGGTGGTGATGGTGATGGTGGTGATAGGA